GTCGGCGTCAGCCTTTACGGGGGGCGTAGGCCCCTCGCTGCAGGTGCCCTGGGCGCACAGTAGCAGCAGCAGCGGCAGCGGGCCTGCTGCTGCTGCTGCTGCTGCACTCTTTGCCTCGGGACCTGCTGCTGCTGCTGCAGCACAGCGCCGGCCCTCAACAGGCGCCTACAGGGGCAGGCTGCAGCCGCAGCTGTATGTACACCCGAGGCCCTCGGCAAGCGCAGGCGCGCAGCGCCCAGGCCTGCAGCAGCAGCAGCAGCAGCAGCAACGGCAGGATGTGCGGTGTCCTGTAACTCGCCTGCTCACTAGTGCTGCTGCTGCTTCGGATGTTGCTGCTGTGGCGTCTTCTCTGCATGAGCTGCTGCAGCAGCAGCAGCAGCAGCAGGAAGAGCGGCAGGGCCTGTCTCACCCGCTACTATACAGGGATCCGCCCACTGCAGCTGCTGCGGCACAACCTGCTTCTGCTGCTGCTGCTGCTGCTGCTTTCTCGCAGCGCGTGGCATCGGAGCAGCAGCTGCTGCTGCAGCAGGCGGCGCACCGCCGCCGCAGCTGCAGCAGCAGCTGCCGCTCAGCGCCACAGGGTTCTGCTTCCGCTGCATCCACGCGCTGGGAGAGGAAGCAGCAGCTGCAGCAGCTGCAGCAACTGCAGCAGCAGCAGATCAGCTGCAGCAGCTGCAGCAACTGCAGCAGCAGCAGATTCAGCAACAGAAGCAGCAGCAGTTGCAGCAGCAGCAGATGCAGCAGCACTTGTTTCCTTCTCGCCATGATGCGCAGGAACAGCAGCAGCAGCAGCAGCAGCAGCAGCAGATTGATCCTGGAGGTTTGCTGACACGCGCTTCAGCTGCTGGGCATTCCTTGCTGGGCTTTGGCCGGCAGCTTGCGCGGAACTTGCTGCGGGCAAGCCCTGCGCCAGCAGCAGCAGCAGCAGCAGCAGCAGGCGCTGACGATGGGCAGCGCAGTCCACAACAGCAGCAGCAGCAGCGGCAGCAGCAGCAGCAGCAGCAGCAGCGTGCTCCATCTCGGACGCCCTCAGTCTGCTCCCTCAAAAGGTTTCTAGAAGTGCAGCCTCCCCCAAAGCGGAAACAAAGTCGCACGGATCCTGCTGCTGCTCTTGGGCTGCAGCAGGATCAGCAGCAGCAGCAACTGCTGCTGCTACAGCAGCAGCAGCAACAGCACGAAGAGTGGCAGGCGCTGCAGGCGAACGGCCTCCGGGCACAGCCACGCTGGCAGGATTCTGGATCTCCAGCAGCAGCAGCAGCTGCTGCTGCTGTAGCAGACACGGGCGTTACTTTGGAGGGGCAGCAGCAGCAGCTGTTGCTGCTGCACTTGCAGCAGCAGCAGTTGCTGCACCGCTGCAGCCGCCACGGCTTCTCGCTGCACCGAGCGCGCCTTTCGCTGCGTCGTCTTGCTGCTGCCTTTGGGGATGAAAAGGAGCTGCAGCTGCTGCAGCAGCACTACGAGCGGATGCTGCAGCAGCAGAAACAGCAGCAGCAGCAGCAGCAGCAAGAGGGAAGTACCCAAACAGGCCCCAATGCGGACCAAGCCTGTGAGGAACGGCGTTGTCAGTCCGAGCAGCAGCAGCAGCAGCAGCAGCAGCAGCATCTAACCACACAGCTGGGTGGGCGATTCATTTCTCTGCATGCGCCGCTGTTGCTGCAGCGCGAGGAAGCAGTTGCTGCTGCAGTTTCAGCAGCAAACCAGTTGCTGCTCATGCAAGAGTCTCATGAACGTGAGCCTCTGCAGCAGCAGCAGCTGCAGCAAGGGCAGCGCCTGCAGCAAATGCTGCTGCAGCAGGAATATGGTAGTCAGCTTATGCTGCTGCTGCAGCAAGTGGAGCAGCAGCAAGATGCAGTAGAGGAGTCTCTCCGGCTGCTGCTGCAGCAGACAAATGCTGCAGCTAAAGCTGCGGCCAATGCCACAGCTACTGCTGCAGCAACTGCTGCAGCGGCACCGTCAGATGCTGCGAAAGGAGATGAAGCAGCACAGGAGGCTTTTGCTGCTAAGGCGCAGCAGCAGCAGCAGCAGCAGCACAAGGAGTCCGTAGGAACTGGGCAAAGGCGTCTGAGCTCATGCAGCAGCCCCAGCACCAGCAGCACCGGTTGCTGCAGCAGTGTTGGCAGCAGCGGCAACAGCGGCAGCAGCAGCAGCAACAACAACAGCAGCAACAGCAATAGCAGGAATGACGAAGATAAAGCCGGAGGCGCATCTTGCGCCGCCACCGCTGCAGCACCGGATCATGAGGCAGCAACAAATGATGGTGATGCTGCTGTGCTTGCTGCTGACGAAGCAGCAACAGCAGCAGCAGCAGCAGCAGAAACGGCTGCAGAGGCAGCAGCAGCAACAAGGCAGAGCCTGAGGTGGCAAGATATCTTGGGCGTCCCGCAGGGAACCGTTGCTGCCCTGCTGCCTGCTGCTGGTGACTCCGCAGCAGCAGCAGCAGCGACAGCAGCAGCTGCAGAAACGACATCAGCAGCAGCAGCAGCAACAGGAGCAGCAGCAGTAGCTCCAGATTTGTCGGGTCTTCGCGCCTATCCGCATCTGCTGCAGGCGTTGCTGTCTTTGCTGCCAGGAGAGTCGCCTACCCTCGCCGTACGTCTTGCTGCTGTTAGTGCTGCTGCTGTTGCTGCTGCTGCTGTTGCTGCTGCTGCTCTTGCTGTTTCCAGCAGCAGGAGGTGCACGTTCACTCCATTCTTCGGCGCCACTGTCACTGCTGCTGCTGCTGCTGCTGCTGCTGTTTGCGCAGGCCATAAACTCCCTCATTGCGACCTTCAATGCCCTAGATTTGCAGGGTCCTGCCGCTGCTGCTGCTGATGCAGCAGCAGAGCCTCAACCAGTAAATTTTTCGGCTGCTGCTGTTGCTGCTGTTGCTGTTGCTGCTGCCGCTTGCTGTGCTGTTTGAGCAGCTGCTCGTTGCCGCTTTCTGCAGCTGCTTGCATTGTGGCGGGTGCAGCTCGGGTGCTGCTGCTAAAGGCATTGCTGACAACTGCTGCTGCTGCTGTTGCTGTTGCTGCTGCTGCTGCTGCTGCAGGGTCCTCTTGTGTACTGCCTCGAGGCACTGCCCATGGCCGCCAGGGAGCTGCAGAAGCTCAGCAGCAGCCAAAACGAGTTGCTGCAGAAGGCTCGAGATGCTGTAGGGCTAAACCCTAAACCCTAAAACCCTAAACCCTAAACCCTAGCCCCCAAACCGAGGGCTCAAGCCCCAAACCCTACAGACTCAAAGCCTAGACCCTAGGCTCTTAAGGTGGAGCGGCTGTCCTGTTGCTGCTGCTTTGCTGCTGCAGGAGACTCATCTTCAGCGGCTTGTTAACCGCATGCAGAGGCGACAGAAGCAGCAGCAGCAGCAGCAGCACGGAGCCACGCTGGTTGTCCCGGTGTATGGCGATGGAGTGGCGTAAGGGTTTAAACCCTAATTCTCAGCAGCAGGAAAACCCTAGTGCCTAAACCCTAGCTTCAGCCCTAAACCCTCGCTAGCGCTACCAAAAACAGGCTAGCTCATGCTTTGCTGCTGCTGCTGCTGCTGCTGCTGCGCATGCAGCTTCCTAATCGTCTTTACGCTTACCCACGGGCCTGGCACCAGCAGCAGCAGCAGCAGCAGCAACACGAGCAGCGCGACGTGTCCACAAATACGGTGTACCTACACTGTAGTAGACTGCCTAGGGGCCTTCGTGCAGGTGCAGCAGCAGCAGCAGCAGCAGCAGCAGCTGGCAGATACATTCGCGCTTCTGCTGCGGTCTCGAAGGGGACTCTCCTGCTTCGGGGTACGAGCAGTTGCTGCTGCTGCTGCTGCTGCTACTGCAGCTTCTTCCCTGGGGGTCTGCGTGCCTGTGGCGTTTCCAGTGCTGCAGTGGGAGCTGCTGCTGCTGCACCGCTGTTGCTGCTGCTGCCTTGCGGTTGCTGCTGCTGCAGGCGCTGGAAGCTAGCAACGAGTGGGAGCTGCAGCTGCGCATGACGGTGCTGCTGCCTCTGTCGAATGATGGAGATATGCCTGACGAAGAAGAGCAGCAGCAGCAGCAGCAGCAGCAACAGGGTGAAGGCGCTGCTGCTGCAGCGGCCAGTCCCGTCGCTGCTGCTGCTGATGCTGCTGTTGCATGCAGCAGAGAGCTGGGGGTGCTGGCAGAGGAGAGCAGGAAGCGGCTGCAGCGGCTGCAGCAGCTGCTGCAGCATCAGCAGCAGCAGCAGCAGCACTTCACAGTGGACGGCATTGGCATTGTTTTGCTTTTTACAATTGAGGGGTTCTTCACGTAGGGAACAGATTTGCTGCTGCTGCTGCTGCTTGTGCTCATCTTTGCTGCTGCCCCGTATGATGCTTCTGCTTAGCCTGTGCTGCTGCTGCTGCTGCTGCCGAACCTCCAGCTTCCTAGGGGCTGAAGCAGTGCAGGTCCTACTGCTGCTGCTAATCCCGCTGCTGCTGCTGCTTCTGCTGCTTTGTGCTGCAGCGGGCATTGTGCCAGAGAGCTGCCCCCAGAGGGTCTTTATGGGCTGCGTCTGGTGTATCTGTGTCAGCTGCTTGAGGTGTACATACACCGCAACTCCCCACAGCAGCAGCTGCTGCTGCATGCACTAGCAGCAGCGAGTTCGCGGCTCCATGCCACTGCCGCTTCCGAAAGGCGCAGGAGGCAGCAGCAGCAGCAGCGGCTGCTGCTGCAGTCCTTCTCAGGTGTATGTACACCCCGCAGCTTCAGCGCCTATTCCCCTTCAGCAGCAATTTCGCGCCGCAGCAGCTTTAGCTGCGCCGCTGCTCCAGGCGTTACGAGGGCTATTGTGTAGCAGCAGCAGCAGCAGCTGCTGCTGCTGCTGCGGCTGCGGCTGCGTGGCGTGAGAGGTTTTGGGAGGAGCTTTGCTGCTGTGGGACTGGTCGCGGGTGAAGGATGTGATGGGCAAGGCACGCATCCAGGGTTTAGGGTTTAGGGTTTAGGGTTTGAGTTGCTGCGGCTGGAAGCTGCGTCTTTAGCGTCAGCCACAAAGGGTTCAGCAAAAGGGTTTGGCGTGATCGTTGCGAGGGTTTAAGGTTTAGCTAGGGTTTAGGTTTAGTTTAGGGTTTGAGCATTAGCTAGGTTCGCTAGGCTTCAGCTGGGGTTTAGGGTTTAGCTAGGGTTTAGGGTTTAGCCAGGGTCTGGGCCTCAGCTAGGGTCTAGGGTTTGGCTAGGATTTAGGCTATAGCTAGGGCTTAGAGTTTCGCTGGGCTTTAGCTAGGGTTTAGGGTTCCGCTAGGGTCTAGGGTTTCGCTAGGGTTTAGGGTTTAGCTAGGGTTTAGGGTTTAGCGAGGGTTTGGCTAAAAATAGAGCTTCATGTTGACAGAAAATAAATAGCTACAATTTGTCAATTAGAAAACCTTCCGTGGCTGCTTGCCGCAGGAAGGACGAAGTCAGCAGCAGCAGCTGCTGCTGCTGTTTCTGCTGCTGCTGTTGCTGTTGCTGCTGCTCTCGTCGCTGAGTCGTCGTGGGCCAGCGAAGAGCAGCAGCGGAAGCAGCAGCTGCTGTTGCTGCTGCTCAATATGCGCCCTGCTTCAAAACCTATGGGGCGCTAGGGCTGCTGCACTTTTGCTGCTGCTGCAGCAGCAGCAGCGCGAGACACAAAAAGGAGGCTGCAGCAGCCGCTTCAGCAGCGGCTGCCGTGTTTTCTCTGCTGCTGCTGCTGCTGCTGCACCAGCACGCGTTTTGCTGCAGCCCCCGTCGCGAAAGTGCTGCCATTGCTGCTGCAGCGGGGCCATCTGCTGCTGCTGTTGCAGCAGCAGCTGCCGCTGTGCAGCAGGTCGTGCTGCTGCACAGACATTGCTGTTGCAGCACGCGCTGCATCTGCTGCTGCCGCTCTTTCGGCAGCAGCACACATATCTACGGGCATTGCCACTTCAGTGCAGCTGCAGCAGCTGCAGCAGCAGCAGCAGCAGCAGTAGGAGTTAGACATCGTCGAAGAGCCCGTCTTCTGGCATTTTTCCCCCGTTGTTGAGGAAATAATAAATGATTTTAATCCACTTTTTGAACTTGTTGGGTTTATAAACTGCTGCATCTCTTTCTGCAATTTCCGTCTCAGGGCCAAATTTTGCTGCTACGTTTTCCTGTGTCTGCAGCAGCTCCGTGTCTTCCCGCTGCAGCAGCAGCAGCTTCTTCTCCCGCCGCAGCTTCTCCACTTGCTTCTTGGTGACAGCTGTGTCTCTCACCTGCAGCTTCAGTGCTGCTGCTGCTGGCTGCTGCAGGCTGTGCGGCTCCCAGTCCTTCTTGCTGCTGCTGCTGCTGCTGCTGCTCGGCCTGCTGCCAGTGGAGCCCGCCTCGCTGCCCGCCTTCCCGCCGTCCGCGTTGCTGCTCTTGCTGCTGCTGCTGCTGCGGTTGCTCCGCGTGCTGCTGCTGCGGCTGTTTGCTGCAGAGGGCGTCCCAGAAGCTGTGGGCGGCGAGAGAGACCCCGGGCTTCGGCGCTGTTCTGCTGCAGCAGCAGCAGCAGCTGCTGCTGCTGCTGTTGGGCCAGAAGTCAGTCCCGGCCAATCCTCAGCAATGAAGGGGATGCCAGATTCGTGGTCTTCCTCCTCCCCCTCCACTTCTGCTGCTGCTGCTGGCTGTCGCTGCAGCAGCAGCAGCAACAACAGTGGCAGCAGCAGCCGCTGCCGCCACACAATGAACATTTTCCCGGCTATCTACCTTCCTCTGTTGCTGCTAGGGCTTCTTAGCATGCTGCTGCTGTCTCTAAAGCTGTAGCTGTTGCTGCAGCTGGCGCTGCTGCAGTGACTGTTACTGCCGCTGTCACGGATACGGCAGTAGCAGAGCTCTGGAAGATGCTGCTGCGAGCGACCTGCAGCAGCTGCTGCTGCTGCTGCTGCTGGCCCAAATATACAAACAATAAAAGGGCCAAATCTTTTGTCGGGGGGGCTTTCACAGATGGAAGCCCAGAAGGATCGATCTGCAGCCGCAGGTGCCACCAGGAGCAGCAGCAGCTGCTGCTGCTGCTGCCGCTGCTGCTAAGCTACCGCCGAAGCAGCGCCACAAAGCAGCAGCCTACCACGTTATACTCTGCTGCTGAAACAATTTGCTGCCATTAAATATTATTAAACTATTTAATGATTTAAAACAGCAAGATAACATTCTTTTAGCAGCAGCCACGCAAGCAGCTGCTGCTGCAGCAGCGTAAGGAATGGTCGAGTGACCGATCCCTACTGCTCCTGCTGCTGCTGCTGCGGCCGCCGCTGAGACAGCAGCAGCAGCAGGAGGGAGGGGCTGCTGCTGGGGCCCCTGCCTACAGCGTTTCTTAGGGAGCGCTAGAATACACAAAGAGCTGTGTAAACACAGCAAGATAGCGGTTTCTGCATTTGCTGCTGCAGCAGCTGCTGCAGTAGCGGCATCGCCAGCAGCAGCAGCAGCCGCAGCGCAAGATGGCCTCTCCTTCCTTGCCCCCCAGTTGCAGCAGCAGCAACAGTAGCAGCAGCAGCAGCTGCTGCACCGGGCGCTCTGGCGCCTGCTGCAGCGCCAGCGCTTCACGTTTGGCCATGTCTAAGCCCAGAAGACAGAGGCGGCGGCGCGGGGCAGTGCTGCTGCTGCTGCTGCTGCAGCTGCTGCAGCAGCAGCAGGCTCCCGTGTCGGCTCATTCACTGCAGCAGAAGACAGGCACTTTGGCCTCCGGCAGAAGCTCAAACTCTTTGCACAATGTGCCCGCCTCCGCTGCAGCAGCAGCGGCAGCAGCTGCTGCTACTGCTGCAGAGCCGCGGCAGCAGCAAACTGCTGGATTCCTCCACGCAGGTGCGCTGCGGCAAACGACCAGCAGCAAGCTGCAGCACCCCACAGTGCAGCAGAACGACCCGAAGACAGGAGCAACGCCAGAAACAGCAGCAGCAGCAGCAGCAGCAGCAGCAAGGCGCACGCGTCTGTTCGGGAACTGCTGCTTCACAGGGGGAGAAGCGAAGCAGCTCGGCAGCGCGGGCGTCAGCAGCAGCTCGGGCAGCTGCAGCAACAGCGGGCCGGCGGAGAGCAGCGACGCAGCAGCAGCAGCACCAGCAGCAGCAGCAGCAGCAGCAAACACCCCACAAGTACCCCGTGTGGGGCCCTCCACTGCGGGGCCCCGCCCCGACTGGTTCCACGTGCCTGCGCCGCGGGGCCCCGGCTCTCGCTACGCGCTGCTGAAGCAGCAGCTCAAGGGTCTCAAGCTGCACACCGTAAACCCTAAACCCTAAACCCTAAAC